TAAGTCTTTTTTGATTTAACATACAAGAAAACCTATTAGGTACATTCTCAAGAATTATGTGCTATTGGTTTTACTTTAAAAGATTACTAAATGTTTTAGTAGAAACTAAGGGTTATTGTCATAAATCCTTTATGTGAAAATCTCTATGAAGTAAGTTAGTAATAAAAAACAATCTTTCACATTTAAGGTTGAAAATTTCCACTGTGAACTTGTTTATTTGTAACAAAAAGCCACTGATTTTTATTGTGGGAAGTGTTCAAAGGAAGTTTAAGGACCCAGACAACAGACACATCTCTGTGTGTAATTCCGATGGCTATTGACTTTCCTAAATCATAATCTTTCCTAATGTATCTAAATGGTAAGCATTTCTACCAGGAGAGTAACTGCCCCCAAAATCAGAAAACTCCATTTTGTGGTAGTTTGTAACATAGCCAGCAAGAAAAAAATAATAATAGAGGGTCAAAGTGAGGCTTGTTTTTATAATAATCATGACTGTGGTATGGTCCATGGAATAAACACTTTGACAGCCTTGTGCAAGTAGGGCCTGGGATAGAGTCTGGGGACTTGAGGGCTTCTTAGGACGAGGTCAGCCACTACCTGATGTGTGACCTTCACACGTCATTTAGCCCGTCTTTCTGTTTCTGTGTCTACACTCTCATCTACTTGGGGTTGTTTTATTCTCGGTGGTTATACAGCTACAGTGAAGACTGAAAGAGTTATACAAAACCATATAGTATTATTTGGTTATTTAGTAGCTGCTTAGAAAAAAGCCTTATCTATATAGCTTTAAAAAAACAAGAACACAAATTAATCAAGTATTTGGAAAAATAATACATTCAGCATTCTTTTAATATCTTTCTTAGCACTAGTTGTTTTAACATGCAGATTAAAAAAAAGAAGAAGAAGAAGACTGCCTGGTTTAGCAGCTAGATTTCTGATTGCTGGGAAAGTGGGCATTAGAAACGGTTACACATAGAAGAATTAAGCTCAGCATCCTCAGGAAATAGCTGCTTTTAGAAGACTGTTTCCACCCAAACGAATATTAAGGTGGAAATTACATTTTGTTTTTAAATTGGCTTGGGAATTGTTTTAATAGAAACAGATCTGTGCAGAGAATATTCTCTAAAATGGAGAGGTTGTATAACATATCCCCCAGGAATTCTTTTATATCATTTGATCCATAGGGGTATGTTTCAAAGAGTCCTCTCAGTACACAATTTTTAAATTTTATTTAAAGTAATTAATTTACTTATAGATTATATTTAAAAGATCCGATGAACATAGCTGACATTTAGCAAGTTGGCTAATCTACTACTGTCTCACTAATGCATTAGCCAGTCTCACCAATTTAGTGAGGCCCTATGCAACTTAGGGAGACCCTCTCTCTAAATAAATTTTTTTTATTTAGTCTGGTTTGTAATTTTTTCTTCTAGTCCTTATAGAGTAAGTGTTGCTTTAGGCTGGGAATATAGCTCAGCTGGTAGAGTGCTTGTCTCACATGCACAAGGCTCTGGGTTCAAACCCCAGCACCAAAAAAAAAAAAAAAAAAAAAAAGAGTGAGTACTGCTTTTATTGTGTGAACTTGGGAATAGAGAGCAGAAACCCTCTCTAAGCCAAATTCAACTTTCTCCCTTGTAACAGATTAGTGATGATGTCTTGAAGAGCTCGCCAACATTTGCAATGAACAGGAAAATAGAGGAAATTAACAGTGGGCTTCGGCTTGTTGAAAATATGTTGCAGCAGAAGAGCGAAAACATTGAGAAAGCTCAAGAAATTCAAAAGGTAACATCCTCCT